TATGTTAAATATTTACTTATATCCTGTCTAGAATCTAGCTATAGCAAGGGTTGTTGTTGTTGTTAAGTGCCATAGAGTCGATTCTGACCCATGGCGACCCTGTATACGGTTTCCAAGGAGCAGCAGGTGAACTTGAACTGCCGACCTTGTAGTTCTATGCACTAATCCATAGCGCCACACTAGGACTCCATATAGCAAGGGTAGCAAATCCTAATAATTTAACTACACAATTACCTTTCCCAAACAGGAATTAAACCTGATATAAAGTTTGAATAAAATCTAGTATTTTAAAATCTGTGTTTAAAGTATTGTGTCAACACTAGGTTGTAGAAACAAGACAGAAATTGGGAGCAGAAAAGTAAAACCGCTTTAGAACAAAAGTTATATCTTTACTTAATCTGTAAGAATTTATTAGAATTACTCAAAAAAACTTCAAACATTCCAAAGTCAAAGAAATAATTTTGAATTATCTCTTGTTTTACATTAACTGTACCAAAAGATCCTTCCATTAGCAAAGATGATTGGAAAGTGATTATATAATTCTTTTGGATTCCCATTCAGAGACTTCTTATACATCGTGACTGACTTATATTTGTGACTTTTCATTTCTGTTTATTTCTACAGGTCCTGATTTCTACCCCACTCTCCAGGAAGTAAAATTGCCTGTACTAGACCACAAGGCTTGTGAACGACTCTACAACCCAGTCAGTATCTTTTTTCCAAATATGAACCCGATTATCAAAGAAGACATGATTTGTGCTGGTGATCCTGATGAAAAGAAGGACGCTTGCAAGGTTGGATTTTGTTCCTGAGGTTTAAAGTTCAAACAAAACATGTTATTTAATGAAACAAGTTTTCCTATCTGTAAACATCAGTAAAATGAGAGAAAAGTCCTTACAATAATTCTTTGTGATCCTGGATACTTAAACATGTACCTATGAATTTAGTTTTTTCAGTAAGAATGTTCATCTATGCCAATTTTAACCACATTAACCAGGGTCACTGGATTTTTATTGTAAAATTTCATAACTAGATTGGCACATAGCTGCTTTCTTTAGCTGCTTTTATTTTATTTTATTAAGAACATTCCATTTTGTGTCCACAAACATCTCTCCATCATCTTCTGGCGATGAAAATCATTCACCAGTTTTATCTTTGTTCTACTATTGTATGTAATGTACTGTTGTATTCAGGCTGTTTTCAATATTTTTTTTCCTTTATCTTTGATCATAATCAGCTAGGTACAATTTTCTTCATCTTTATCTGAGGTTCATTGAGCTTTTTGTGTGTGGGTGCTTTTAATCCACACACTTAGGTCTTTCATCAAAACTTAGGAAATTATCATGATTTCTTCAAATTATATCTTGTTCTCATCTCTTTTTTCTCTTTTTCTGGTTAAAACAAAAACCCTATTAGTGACCCCTTTCTAATATTGTCACACTTTTTTGATAAACCCCTTTTTAGTTTTAGCCCTTTTCCCCTCTTCTTCAAATAAATTAGATACTTTTATTAACCTACTTTCATTTACATTTTGCTATTCAGTAAGCTAGTTCAATTTTAAAATTAAGTTCATTTTTGAAATTTCAGAAATTTTGTAATTCTAAAATGTCCATTTGATTTTATACATATATACTTTTTTATATAAGTCAAGATTTCTTATCTGATCATTCATTATGAACATATTTTCCTTTATATTTGTTGGACATAGTATTTATAGCTACTTTAGAATCCTTAACTGCTAATTTCAAAATGTGATTTATCTCGGAATTAATTTCCAATGACTTGCTTTTTCTCAAGTAAAATTTTTCTGTTTTTCTTATAATACTTTGTTTTTGCTTAAATATCTAATAATTTTGGATTGTGTCCATGACCCTGTTAGTGATACATTATAGACAATATGGATTGCTATGTTCCTGTGAAGAATGCCAAATTTGTTTTTAACAGGCAGTTAGTTTGGCTGTGATTTCAAAGCCTGTTTGGACCTCTCTTGTAGTAGGCAGTAACTGAAATCTCTGTTCAATTCTCTGAGTCTTAGTTGAGCTGCTTGGAGTCTCACCTGTATATCTAAGTGGTTAGCCAGAGATCTGAGCAGAGTTTATATGGAGAACTTGGGGCCTACCCTCAGTGGCTCTCTCTGTTGTGGGATTTCTCCTTTCACTTGCGAACTGCTGTCTATTAGCCCTGAACTTGGTCCTCTGATTCCTCAAAATGAGACTGTAGTTTTTAATTTACGTTTTAGTCACCATCTAGTATGATGACAGGACCTGCTCTAGGAGAAACAAACAAACAAAAACAATTAAAAAGAAAAATTAAGTGTCGTCTCCCAAGAATTGGCTCCTCTCCTGTTTCTATTTTTGGCCACTGCATAACGGCACTGCAAGATAAGCACTTGACCATAAGGTTGGTTTTAACTGCTAAGTCTGTGGTTCAAACTCACAAGCTGCACTTTGATAACCCTATACAGGGTCACTATGAGTCGGAACCGACTCGATCAATGGCACTTAACAACAATAACATAGTGCCCTCAGATAACTGGCTTTTATATATAGTCCACAAAACAGAAAATCTGAATAGCTCTATAAGAAGTAGAAAGACTGAATAAGTGATATGAAATGGAAACAACTTATCTATTTAAAGAAGCCCATGACCACATGGCTTCACTGGTAAATTTTATCAAACATTTAAAGAAGAATTCATACTAATTCCTCATAAACTCTTCCAGGAAACTGAAGAGGGAATTCTCCCCAACTTATTCTAAGAAAGTAGTATTACCCAAAGAAAAATAAAACTATAGACAAATATTTCCTATGAATATGTTGTTGTTGTTAAGTGTCACTGAGTTGGTTCCAACCCACAGCAACCCTGTATAGGGTTTCTGAGGAGCAGCTGGTGACTTTGAACCACCAATCTTGTGGTTCAAACCTCCAATCTTGTGGTTCAAACTGACTTTGAAGTCCAACACATTAACCCACAGAGCCAAACCAGGACTCTTTTATGAATATAGGCATGAAAATGATCAATTACAAGCAAACTAAATCCAGCAACATTTAAAAAGCAGAATATCACACCACAACCAATAGGGACTTACTGCAGAAATGAAAGGTTAGCTTAATATCTCACTTTATGAAAGGTGCTGTTGTGGCACTCTAAGATAAGCAATGGACTGCTGACGACAGAGTCAGTGGTCCAAATCCACCAGCACTGCTTGGAAACATTATACAGGGTCATTATGAGTTGGAACAAACTCAATAGCACTTAACAACAACAACCATATTGATAAAGTTAAGAACAACAACAACAAAAATCACATGATTATCTAAAGAAAAAGCACTAGGCAAAATCCAACAACTTTTCAAAAAAAAAAAAAAAAAACTTGGAATAATAGATGGGAACAATTCCATATAATGCTTACAATAAACCCACAGATAACATCAGACTTATTGATGAAAGGTTGAATACTCCCAAGATTAAGGAACAAACAAGAACTCTTGCCACATCTAGCTAACACTGTCCCAAAGGTTCTAGTCATGGCAGTTAATCAAGAAAAAAATACAAGTAAAACTATTTACATATGACATGATCTTATGTAGAGAAAAGCTCAAAGAATCCATAAGAAAAACCTTTTGGAACTAATAAATTGCATGCTTGCTGGCTGAAAATGAAGAAGATCTGAAGCACTTACTAATGAAGCACTTACAGCCATCAATATAAATGACAATTCATTGTAAAGGTAACAAAAATTCTCACCACTGACCAATCAACATCATAACGGAGAAAAGGTTTCAACTGTCAGGGATTTCATTTTCCTTGGATCCACAATCAATGCTTAGGGTAGCAGCACTCAAGAAAGCAAGCAGTATATTCACTGGGAATATCTGTTGTAAACCACCTCTTTTAACAGTTAAACAGCAAAGATGACACTTGGAAGACTAAGATGTGCCTGACCCAAATTTCATGGAATTTTCATGTGCAAGTTGGACAATACATAAGGAATACTGGAGAAGAATCAAAGCATTTGAATTATGATGTTGGTGATGAATATTGAATATACTACAGACCAGAAGAATGAATAAATCTGTCTTGGAAAAAAGTACTGTCAAAATGTTTCTTAAAGGCGAAAATGATGAAACTTGTATTACCTTCTTTGAATGCAGTATCAAAAGGGACCAGTCTCCAGAGAAGGATATCATTATCAGCCAAACAGACGGTCAGCAAAAAAGAGGAAGACTCTCAACAAGATGGACTGACACAATGGCTGCAACAAGATAGTTTCTATTTCTAAATTAAAATAATTTTTTAAAGGGCTCTCAGAAGAAAACAGATGGATGAACCTTTGTGACTTTGAATCAAGCATCCACTTCTTAGATGTAACATCAAAGTATATGACAAATCTAACAATTAGAAAATTCAAGTTCATCCGATCTAAAAATGTGAGCATTAAAGGAGTCCATTACGAAAGTGAAAAAGGAAGCTACAGAATGGCAGAAAATATTGACAAATCATGTATTAGATAAGGGACCTGTGTGCAGATTTACAGCCTCAGAAACCTAATCAGAGTCGCTGAAGTCAGAACCAACTCCACAGCATATAACCGCCGCCACCACATAGAATGAGCACTGGGCAAATCTGTTGCACAACAACTCTTTAAAATGTTCAAGAGCAAAGAGAGATAGCAGTTTGATGACAGTGATGGCGCCTGACGCAAGCAACGGTATTTTCAATAGCCTTAAATGCATAGTCTGTTTTGCATAGGATCGCTATGAGTCAGAACAAACTCTACTGCACCTAACAACAACATATTCATGTAAAAGTTGGACAATACATAAGGAAGACTGTAGACGAGTTGATGCATTTGAGTTTCGGTGTTAAAAAAGAACATTAAAATGGTCTGCCAGAAAACAAACAAAATCTGTATATAGCCAGAATGTTCCTTAGAAACCAGGATGAGGAGATTTCATCTGTCATACTTCAGACATGTTATCTGGAGGGACCATTCCTTGGATAAGGACATCATGCTTGGTAAAATGGAGGTTTGGTGAAAAAGAGGAAAACTCACAACAAAATTGATTGGTCCAGTAGCAGCAGCAATGGGCTCAAGTGTAAAATTGTGAGGATGATGCAGACCATGCAGTGTTTCATTCTGTTGTGCATAGTGTCACTATGAATCGGAATTGACTTGATGGCACCTAACAACAACAATCTAAATAAATAAAGAATATTTATAATAAATTTACAATAAATATCGATAAACTTACATATAAGAATGGACTTTAAAAATATAAATAATCCAATTTAAAAGTGGGCCAAGAATCTGAATTTATGATAGAGTTTTCTCCAAAGATTACAAATGGCCCATAAGCACATGAAAACATGCACAAAGTCAATAGTTATCAGGGAAACTAAAACCACAATGAGATAACACTTCACATCCACTAGGAAAGCTATAATATAAAAGACAGATGATAATGAGAGATGATGAGGATAAACTAGAGCTGAAACTCATACACTGGGTAGCAGGAATGTAAAATGGTACAAGCACTTTGGAAAAGTCTGGCATTTCCTCAAAATGTTCAACTCAGTTACGACTGTTGTTGTTGTTGCTGTTAAGTGCATTTCAGCTGGTTCCAATTCATAGTGACTGTCTTGGACTGTGAATCACAAGGTTGGTAGCTCAAATCTACCAGTCACTCTGTAGGAGACAAATAATTTGCAGCCTCAGAAGCCTATAGTTACCACATTTCCCAGGAGTTACACAGCTAGGTATATACAAAGAGAAGTGAAATATGAAACGTGTACATAAATATTCATAATAGCATTTTTCATAACAGCCAAAAAGTAGAAACAACCTAAATGTCCATTAACTTGTGAATGAGTAGACAATTTGTAGTATATTCATAACCCACTACTATAGAGTTGATTCCAGCTCATAGCAACACTGTGTAAGGTTTCCAAGGCTGTAAAGGAACAGAAAGTTTCATCTTTCTCCCACACAGTAGCTGGTGGGTTTGAACTGCCGACCCTATAGTTAATTGTTATTGTTGTTAAGTGCTGTCAAATCAGTTCCAACTCACAGCTACCCTGTATAGGGTTTCTGAGGAGGGACTGGTGAGTTTGAATCACCAACCTTATGTTTCAAACCAACCTTGCGGTCCACTGCTTATCCTACATTGCCATTCATACAATGGTATATTCCAAAACCAAAAGAAAATAAACCAATTGCCATTGAGTCAATTACAATTAAGGTTGTTGTTAGTACCACTAATCAATTTCAATTCATAGTGACCCTGTATAGAGTTTCTAAGGAGCAGCTGGTGGGTTTGAACTGCCAACACTGAGGCTCAAATCGACGTGCAATCCAGTGCTTACCTTAGAGACACACTGGGATTCCAATACAGGGTTTCCAAGACTGTGTATCCTTACAGAAGCAGACAGTCTCATTTTCTCCCACGATGCAGCTGGTGGTTAGCAATACCAGATCTCCAGTGGAGTATTGTTGTTGTGAAGTGCTGTCGAGTAGGCTCTGACCCATAGTGACCCTGTGTAGGATTTCCAAGGAGTGGTTGGTGAGCTTGAACCTCTGACCTTGCAGTTCAAACCGGCTTTGCTATCCAGCACATTAACCCACAGTGCCACACCAGGACTATTATTCATCCATAAAAAGCAATGTAGCATTTATAGATGCTGGTGACACTTGAAAATATTATTATAAGTGAAGGAAGCCAGACACAAATGAATATATACGTTGATCCTATTTGCATAAATTGCTTACCTCGGAGACCATGTGCGTGCAGGGTCACTATGAGTCAGAATCAACTAAACGGCACTTAACAACAACAAAAGGGAAGTATGGTGGCTCCATGGTAAGCACTGGACTTCAAACCACAAGGGTGTTAGTTTGAGTCCACTAGCTGTCCTGTGGAGAAAAGATGAGGTTTTCTGCTCCCAGAAAGATTTACAGTCTCAGAAGCACTACATAGGATCACTCTGAGTTGAAGCCAACTCCATGGCACTTGACAGTAACAGGGCTGAAGGGGCTGAGTAAGTGGGGGTTACTACTAATGGGCACAGGGTTTCTTTTGGGGGTGAAGAAAGCATTCTAACATTGTAATAATGGTTGTATAATGTTGCGAATATACTAAAACCCACAGTAGAAGAATTGATGCATTTGAGTTATGGTGTTGGAGGAGAATATTAAAAGTATCATGGACTACCAGAAGAAAAACCAAATCTGTGTTTGGAGGATGTACAGCCAGAATGCTCCTTAGAAACCACAATGGCCAGATTTAGTCTTTATCAGGAGGGACCGGTCATACATATTATGCTTGGTAAAGTGGAGGACCAGCGAAAAAGAGGAAGACCACCAACGAGATGAATTGGCTCAGTAGCAGTAGCAATGGGCTCAAAGATAGCAACGATTGTAAGGTTGATACACAACCGGGCGTGTCTCATTCTGTTGTGTATAAGATTGCTATGAGATGGTACCAACTTGGCGGTACCTAACAACAACAACAACTAAAATCCATTCAACTGTATACTTTAAATGGGTGAGTTATATATGATGTGGTGCAATGGATTTCTCTCTCTCATGTTGCTTTTCTAGCCCTAGGTTTGTAATTTTTCTGGAATGACTAGTCAAGTGAATACAATCAGCTATCTGCATAAAGAAGCTGCATGGACAGGTCATTTTGATATCCACATAAGCAGCTTGCAATTCAACTAATGGAATTGGTTGATTTATAAAAGCCACACCTTGAAACTGACATGATATTCTCCTATATAAGTGGATAATCTCTGGTAGTGTAGTGGTTACGAATCAGGCTGCAAGCCTCAAGGTCAGCAGTTCAAAACTACCAGCTGTTCTGCTGGAGAAAGATGAGGCTTTCTGCTCCCATAAAGATTTATAGCCTTGGAAACCCTGTACAGGGTCGCTATGAGTCGGAACCGACTCCACAGCACAAAACAACAACAACAATCTCACAAAGGTTATTGGTGACCTCTTGATCAATAAGAGCCTGGAGAGGTATGCATCCTACAGACTCAGGGTCCCTGTATGGAGAACCTCCTAGAACAGGGTAAAAGAGCTATCATACAAGTCAAGGACTATAACACTGAGCTGGTAACACTGAAGAATGAAGAGAAACAGCAGCAAGCACAGCAGAGCCACAAGAGAGAGAAATGATGGTAGCTGTATGAGTAGCAGGAGTGATGAGACCAGCAGGCAGCACTGGCGAGTGAGTCAGCCCCATGGAGCAGGGCTGGGCTTCTCCAGCAGGAGGCTACCAATGAAGCTGGGTACGCTGCAAAAGAGAAGAGGCTCAGGCCTCACTCATTCAGGCAGATGACAGAGCAGAACAAACGGCAGTATGGGGGCCAAGATGGCCACTTTTAGGTAATGGTAAGATGGTATGGCTGGACTGAGAACTGTAATCTGAGCAGGCCAAAGAGAGGTCTGCAGAGGCTTGGGCTACCTCTGAAAGTTTTGCATCAAAAGACATCACAATGTTGGCCTAACTCTGGCATTGTTCCAGGATCATGCTGAAGCTGCCAGTTGAAAGCTGGACCAGTAAGAACAGGGGGCCAGACCCAGTCAAGGAAAGCCAGAGAAAGAGAGAACAAACACAACTCTACTGACCCTACCTGAGATGACGACACAAATGCTAAGAGAGACAGACAAACCTGCTGACTCTGGCATGCTCACCCAGTGATAAAGAAATGGACATGAGTAATTTGGGAAGGATGAATGGATCTCCTTTTAGACTTACATGGGTTCTTTCCTTCTCATGCTAAGTAAGATACTTATGGAGGTAGCCAGTTCACCTCTATTCTGTTCCTGTTGTTTTACTGTATACCTTCTATAAATAATAATTGTTGTTGTTATTGTTAAATGCTGTCAAGTCAGTTCCGAGGCTGAATAGGATTTCCAAGGAGTGGCTGTGAGCTTGAACCACCAACCTTGTGGTTCAAACCGACTTTGTAATCCACCACATTAACACACAGCATCATACCAGGACTCCATAAATAATATTATATAAATAATAATAATACCTTTCAATTTTCAATATTATACAAGTGCCTTGTGTATGTAAGTACAACACAATCAAGATCTGACAGTACAGTCCTTATCTCAGAAGTCTTATCACTGCTTGTAATTTTAAGGCAACTGGTGTGAAGTTTACGCACTCAGTTTGCATATTATGTGAATTATATTTCAAGAAAGGTGTTACAACATAAAAAGACAGGTTGACAAATATACTACCAACTTCTATCACTATTATTTTACTTTTACAAAATAAGGCAGGAAGAGCTTAAGAATAGAAAAAATAAACACAGTTCATTCCGTTGAGTAAATCTAGGGAGCCCTGGTATGGCGCTGTGAGTTAATGCACCAGATTGCAAAGCCATTTGAACCACAAGGTTGGCAGTTCAAGCTCACCAGCTGCTCTTTGGAAACTCCATACAGGGTCGCTGTGGGTCAGAACCAACTTGATGGCACTTAACAACAACAAAGCTTTAGTGAGAAACTCATCATATTATTCTTATTTCTCTTATTTACTGGTGAAAATTGTATCACAGAGGAGCATTTTGAAGATGCTGGTATATTTAGCTACAATTCCTGCCAATTTCAAATTCTATGATTCTAGAATTGCTGGGATCTCCCCATAATGCAGTGAGCCTTACAGCTCTCTCGGGAGCTACTGTCTCCGTGGGCTTTCACTGCTTGGTTCTAAGGAACTCTTCAACCCTCTGGCCTTTCTCTCTCCTCTTCATGGTCTCTTTTCACTATACTCATGACCATTTCCTCTTCCTTAGGGTGATTCTGGAGGGCCTCTGTCCTGTGATATTAACGGTGTGTGGATCCAGATAGGAGTGGTAAGCTGGGGCCTAGGATGTGGACAATCCCTTCCTGCAGTCTACACCAGTGTGCTATACTACCAACAATGGATTAATGCCACCATCTCAAGAGCTGCGGTTTTGGGTTCCAAGAACCTGAATTTATCTGACTTCCTACTCACAACTGTACTGCTCTCTCTGACTCTCCTGGGACCCCTTTGGGACTAACATGATACTAGGAGAGTGGGCTGTGTAGCTGAAGCTGTCAGCTGAGTATAAGGCTGGGAAGGGAATGCTCACAGAATAAGACCCAAGGACAGAAAATTCACAGAAGAGTCACTGGGTATGCTGGATGACTTCATTGAAATCATTTGAAATGTTTTTTTAAAAATGTTTTTGATTCTGGAAGTGTGTTTAAGTGATTAGAATGTGAACAGCTGAGAAATAAAGCTGCTTTCTGTACACTTTGTTCCCTAGTGTCTATAAATAACAAGAGCACCTTTCGATTAGTAGCACCGTGTACATGTCTTGTGTATATGACCCAATCAGACAGGATACTACAATTCTCATCCCAGAAATCTTAGCACTGCTTGGAATTTTGAAGCAACTAGTGGAGTCCTGGTGAGGTGCTACAAGACAATGCACTGGACCACAAGGTCGGTGGTTCAAACCCACGAGCTGCTCTTCAGAAACCCTGTACAGGGTCACTATGAGTTGGAACCGACCTGATAGCACTTAACAACAAGACGTGAGTGTGTTTTAAAAGGATCCCTGGTAGTACAGTGGATAAGCATTTGGCTGCTAACCAAAACGTCCATGTTTTGAACCCAAAAGCAGCTCCACGGTAGAATGATGTGGTAGTCTGCCTCCATAAACATTTGTTGTTGTTGTGAAGTGCCGCTGAGTCGATTCTGACCCATAGTGACCCTGTATAGGGTTTCTGAGGAGCAGCTGGTGAGTTTGAACCACCGACCCTTGCAGTTCAAACGGCTTTGCAGTCTTGCAAATTCTCTGGGACAGTTCTACTCTGCCTTAAAGGGTCACTCTGAGTCAGAATAACTTTATGGCAACAGGCATTTTTGGATTAGATGTATGTTTATAAACATAGTCTACATGGTATTCTCTTATCCCCTCTACAGATAAGTATATGTGAACACAAATTAAACAGCTTCTAGAGAGTGGTGCGTGGCGCTGTGGGTTAATAATGTGCGAGACTGCAAAGCCATTTGAACTGAACTGCAAGGTTGGCGGTTCAAGCTCACCAGCTGCTCCTCGGAAACCCTATCCAGGGTCGCTATGGGTTGGAACCAACTCAATGGCTCTTTAACAACAACAACAGAGTGTGGTGCTGTAGGATAAGCTTTGGACCTTTTTACAAAGTCAGTTCCAACCACAAAGTGGGTAGTTCAAACTTACCAGCTGCTCCTCAGAAACCCTATAAAGGGTCACTATGAGTCAGAACCAACTCAACAGCACTCAACAATAATAGAAACAAGGTACCTTGGTGTGGCTCTGTAAGATAAGCATTGAACTGCTAACCTCAAAGTCAGTGGTTCAAACCCACCAGCCGCTCCTTGGGAACCCTATACTGGGTCACTATGAGTCAGAAAAGCAACTCAACAGCACTTAATAACATCAAGTGGTTTAATGCCATTTCTATAAAAAGTGATTTAAAATGTGTACACAGGGGAAAAAAAGCTATCCCTTGTTTCATCAGCATGTTACCTTTTGTTAGCATGATGTATCTTATTTCCCTTTATGCCTAGGCTCAACTGCAGTGCTTTCCTTTATGCTAGGTTTTCTGGCATAATTCTACTCATTAAATCTAATTTGAGTGGATTAAAGGGGTTTTTGGTTTGGGTTTTTTGTTTTAACTTTCACTGAGGTTTGGGTGAAAGTCTAGAGAACAAATTGGTTTTCCATTTAAAGTCATACACATTTTGTTTCATGTCCTCCCCAACCCTCACAATATAACAACACTCTTCCCACCTCCTCTCCTATGTTTACCGTTTCTATTCCTCCTTCTTTCCTAACGCTTTCAGCTTTCTGAACTTTGTCCTTGGGCAAATGCTGCACTGTTGATCTCATAAGGCTAAATGCTCTAAGGCTCTAAGGAATGCATAGCTCCCTAATGTCACTGTCCACTCTGTTGTTTGGCTGGAAGTTAGTTAAGCCACGGGGCTGGGGGTGGGGGGGGGTGTGTGAATTCAGATACAGACTTGAAAGGTGTCTAAGGGCTATAGTCTCAGTGGTCCCACAGGGCTTTATCACACCAGTAAGTGTGGTCCTTAT